TTCAGACAACTCCAGGACATCACTCCTCCACCACTAGACCAACAGCAGAGAGCTGATTGCAGTTGGTAGCTTGGAGAGTGGCCATGTGGTCACGCCACATCTACTGGACTGGCTGGACAATTGTTGGTCATCACATTACGTATCGATGCTGAACTCTTTCTTTGTCGATTCCACTGAAAAAGCACCAGGACACAAGTGTACCTTTATGTTTTTTTTTTTACAATTAATCTTTAGGAAGTGTAAGCATACTGGCCATCGACCAATAAACTGTGTAGGGAGGTCTAGGAAGATCAACGTCACCACGAGTCGATGTGCAGTTCAAAAACAGTTAAGTAGTGTCAAGGGGTTCATAGGTCATCAGATTTTTAAAGGGTCTTGCAGGGCTCCAGACTGCGACTGAAATGGTTGCAAATGCGCCAAAAAATAAGAATTTGCGACAATTATTTAAAATCTAGTCGCCATTAGCGACAGACACCAAAACTTTATTTTGTGTCGATATGTGGTCGAATTTCATCTGGTGGCGAGGCGTTAATTCCATCTTTAGAGTGCACGCCTGTACGTCCCTTCATCACAGCACACGTCAGTGACGGTTGGTTTAAAGGTAGCAAGCTAAGAACCTACGCACTAGGACACAGGCTGCTACAGGTGTTCCAAAAGCTGGCTGATCTGCTAACAATGATGAAGCGTAAAATTGCAGACTTTTCTAAAGAGTTTGATGCATCTCCTGGCGGATTTTGGACCACTGCCGGGGATCCTCAGAATCCAGCCAGCGAAGTTTACGTGAGTATGGACGACACCTGAGCAGCCGTCTAAATCGAGCAATTTGAACAAATGCTGTATCGCGGCTTTTGTTCTAAAGCCGGCCAGGAAGTTGCAGGGAAAACTGAGTTTTTCAAAGGGACGAAGCATTTTAGAAAAGAAACGGTAAAAAAACATGGAGGCAGTCAGAAGCAATCAAAATGCTCGTGATTGTGTGAATGCGAAGTATGCTCATTAGCCCGGGCTGTGTCTCGCGCCTGTCAAAAGACAGCCTCCACTTTGGAGGGTTTCACCGGGATCAGCTCAGCAGGCCCTTCACTTGAGCAGTGTGATCCCGAGCTCTGTGAGAGGCTCTGGCTCGGCTCAAACCAGAGGAAGAGGAGGCTCAGAATCTGATGAGTAGACACTCCATTTGTGACTGTATATAGTTTTAAAGTTTGAAAAACAGACCAATCAGCCGTCAGAGGTCAGGCACAATGGAGTAGGGCAAGAATCAGGCAATAAAAGAGGAGGACAGACCTATGGGCACAGAAGCATGTGAACTATTTTGATTCTGTAATTTGGCGACTAAAAAAAGTCATTTGGCTCCAAAATGTTTTATTTTAGGACCCAGTTGCTCCCAAGTAATTTTTTTTGTCTGGAGCTCTGTCTTGCCTGGTTCTGGGTTCTGGTTTCTGGTTGTGCCACCATCACGGGGGAAGCATGTCTTGTGTTCTGGGTTCAAGGACATGAGCGAGTCACACATGGAACGTTTTGGAATAGTGGCCCAGCGGACAGGGAATATTCCTGCCGTTCTGGAGTTTCTTCCCATGCCTGAGGGTTTTTTTTTGTACCGGCATCTTCTGCTGCGTCGACATTATACAGGACCTTGGTGATCTGGAAAAGTGTCAAAACATCGCCCTGTCCCTTCAGGGCTGCCGATGTCCTTCCTCCTGTCTTCGATAATTGAATTTGGAGGTTGCTGAT